GATGGTAGAGAAGACTACAGGATACATTACAGTTCTACTTTTAAAGAAGTAAATAAAATTTGAAAAAAACTAACCATTTCATAGAATATTCATGACACAAATTAAAAATTCTATCGCTGTAAACAAATTGATAAAATGTGCCATATATTTTTACGTCAAATTAAATATAAAGAATGCATGAGTATAAGAAAGCTTAAAATTCCATTATAATTACTTGTTATTATGAGATGCCAATCAAGAACTAATTATTAAATTATTTCGTCGACACTTGCGAATAAATTGTACCATACCACTGTATCGATAAGTTTCTTTTCTGGATTTAATTATAAACCAATTCCAATTAAGTTAAAATGAAAAAAAAAATTAAGTGTGGTTACTGTTGCGAGAGCTTACAAGAAATATGATATTGGTTTTTTCCTCAGTCTTCGTATTAATAAATCAAGAAAAATATCAATTTTAGCTTGCGTGTCGATAATTTTAATTCTTGCTTTTTTGAATTTTGATGTACTTTTTTTTAAAAAAAAATATAATGTCCCGTTTTGTTAATTAGTAAGATCTCTTTCACTTGAAATTTTAATCATGTTAGACAAGAAATATTTAACGATTTTTTTTATCTGATGTTACTTTCAGGAGCAAGATAAAGTGAAGTGAAGAAAAAGAGAGCTAATTAATCTTAACATCATCAATTAGTGATAGGTTTTTCTACAGTTTTTTTCTTCGTTTGTTAAGTGCTTTTTGCTCCTTTTAAGCTTTTCGAAGCTTTGCGGTTTGCATGTCGTTTTTTCCTTTAATTAGAGAAATTAATTTTTCCAAAAAAACGGAATATATATTTAGCTATAAGTATATGCTTCTGTCTCTGATATCTTATTTAAAATGCTCTTTTATATACTTGGTGTTTTTTTTATGTATTTATTGCATAAATACATTAGTTTATCGATGGCATTGGTTTATTCTTAAAGAACCTTTTAGTAGAAAGAGTATTTATTAAGGTATCCGACTACGTTCGGAACCGTGTTTTTGCAAAAGCGTGTAAATGGATAATATTTATGATATTTAGTGTCACTTAGATTAGAAAATGTATATAAAATTGTTTTAAGAGAATAGTATTACAATAAAAACTATTTAAGTACAATATTTTGACAAAAACTGAATATAGAATGACCCCTTTTCAAAATATTTTCTTTTTGCGAAAAATGCTTTTATGATAATAATATTTAGCCTGTATATAGCTCAAACCTCTGTACAGAGGCTAAACTAGAGTTTTTGAAATACATAACTTAGAAGTGGGTTTATCTATGTTTTACGACAACAGAGGGGAGAAATTTTAAGAGAAAAACGCCGATAATTATTTCAATGGGTTGTAACTCTGAAAATAATTTGAACTTTTCAAAAATCATAGTTGAGCCTCTGTACAGAGGTCTGAGCTATATACAGGCAAAATATTATTATAATAGAAGCATTTTTTACAAAAGGAGAACATTTTGAAAAAAGGTTACTCTAAGTTAATTTTTTGCCGAAATATTGTATTTAAATAATTGTTTTTGTCATAATCTTCTTAAAACATCTTCATGCATGTATTCTAATCCAAGTGACACTAAATATCATGAAAATTATACATTTATGTGCCTTTTTAAAATCATGGTTCCGAACGTAGTCGGATACATTAAAAAATCTGTCGCTAACCGTAACTGATTGAAAAATATGATATGATGGTCTCCTGTCTTAGCCTTAAGGCTATGACTTTGTTGCTGAATTACTATGTTTCTTTGGTTGTTCTACATTGTTGGCCACACAAAATGCAACCTCAAGGTGGACCAGAGATATCACAGCAAAAATTATTTCTACAAAGATCAAACGATTAAAGTTACAGCCTCTTGTAAGGTATGGGTGGTGAAAAAATCAGTAGTTTGGTATAGCCGCCATTATTGGCTATAACCGCTGCCACCCGCTTCGGTATAGAAACAAGAATCGTTGGATATATCTTTGGGGCATAGCTGTTCACGCGGCTTTCACATATTGCCAAAGGTGATCTGGTGTAGCAGCTGGTGGTGTATCCCGGGATAATCGTTGGCTAAGCATGGGCAATACGTTTTGTGAAACCACCCTCCTAAGGTGACCGTTTCTTTGATTATCTGCGTGAGCTAGAGGTGTAGGGTTTACAAAAGGAACAGACATTTTTGTATTCTTAATATGACTTTATTAAGAATATTACTTAAACCTCTAACAAATTAGATAATAATATTTATGAGAGAATCTACTATGAACAAACACACAATAATATAGTTATACCGAATCGCGTAACTTGGACCACTATAATATCTCACCCGCCTAATCTCACTTCTATTAATATTACAAATCCTAATATCAAATAGTCAATCCTACCTTAATTTGATCGTAGCTTCAATACTATGAAGAAGCGTCGTGGCGCGCGTGCAATGGTATGCACCTTGACCTAATGGCTTAATCTTCAAGGTAACTTCTACTGGCTGTCAATTCCCGCTTGTATCAATCGCTCACATAACATTCCCAAACTGCCATCCGACTTACTGAAACTTCTGTTATTTAAAAGCTATTTCATTTGCATTCCAACTTCACGTTTTACTTCTTGGGTTTTGGTTGGAAAAGAGTTGCCATTAATCTTGGCCCCAAAAGAACCCGGAGGACATGTTAAAGAAAAGACGTGTGAGCCCGTCACACGTTTTCCATTGGCGATAGATCGGGTGAACGAGTAGGCGAAGTAAGCAATTCATTCTGATGGGTAAAGATTCGGTGTCTCTTTCATAAACAGCCACAGCAGGATCACGACTTTTGTTATCAATAACATATTGATCCATTGAAATTTCTATTCAAAATATAGAAACAGAAAAGTTTATTTAAAAAATTTCAACAAGGAGTTATTTCTATTTACATTTTATGTATAAGAGAATCAGATACATATTCCTCAACAAAGGTATAAATTCGAATTTTCGCTAAGTGTTCTGTAGATACTTCTGCTTAGGGATTATAACTTTTTAAAATTGAAACTGAGATAAAACATCTTCATATTCGCCATGCCGTAAGATTTTAAAAGCACAATAAAACAGTACAAAATTTTTGTACCCGAGCAAATAAAAATGCTATCCAATTGGGTACAAAAAATTAATAGAAACAGCTTACAAATGACCATTATATATACAATAATATTCACGTGAATCCCAGCTAATTTCTTCTAATGACGAAAAATTACCCATTTTATGCACTTAGACATAAGTTTAACATATTTATCTCTGGAACTGAAAAGCCTTTTGTGAAATTATACTTTGAATTAGTCAGCTTTGATAATTCAATAAATTTATTTAATTGCCCTTATCAGGAACACACAGTTCTGTATTTTGATGGACGATCACTCTAGCGTAACCTCTTTGTCGTTCATAATTTAGCTTAGATTCAAAGTTGCCAGATGCAGAGAAGGAAATTCTAGTCTGAATTATAACTGTAGAATACATTGTGTAGTCTGTCTAATGTAGTAGTGAAAATAATTTGTATGCGTTAAATAATTAACACCGTTTCGATTTTGTTCCATTATTTTTGGAAAAGTAGGTGAAATAATAGAAATTAAATGACATGTATAATTGGCATGGAATGGTAATTAATGTTTTTAGTTAATGGGCTTGATTCATGAAGTCACATGATAAAAACAAACTCATGTTTTCCATTGAATTCAAAACAAACATTAAAATAATTGTACTTGTTCTATTTGTAAAACTCAGATAAAATTTCAAATTTCATATTTGGTTAAAGATGTTTAAATGTTAGGGAAAAAATTTTCTACAAAAAGATTTTTTTTAAATTAAAAAAAAAAGTCGTATTTTATGCTTATACTTTTAAATAAAATGCATTTTGTACACATATGTGCTTTTTAAGAGAAAATTTCTGCAAAGAGCTAAATGTAGCCGCGGTAGCCGAGTGGTATAGGTATCAGACCGTGGCTTACCTTGTCACGAGTTTGATCCCAGTACCACTGAAGACCCGCGGTGTAGGGCAGCGATGCCCGTTAAATCTGTCGAGAGCTGAAACGTCCTCCCGTTGGAGTGGTGTGGTAGTTAGGAGAGGGGGGTGCCAGCTCAGGTGTCGTCCACGTCACTTGACCATGGTTCAAAATTACGTGTTCCGTCGCCAAAAGCCCTCGTGTAGCGGAACAGTGCGACGTTAATATTCAATCAATCAATCAAGCAAGCAAAGAGCAAAACTGGGCAAAACCGGAGTGCGTGAACTGATGAGTTGGAAGCACAAGATAGTTTTTATCGTGTGACTATGACGTCACATGAGTTTTTGAATTGATTGTCTAGAATCACGTGGCTTTCACTATCATGTGACTATGACGTCACATGAATCAACCTCATTGAGCAAAGATAATTTGACAGTTTATTTCTATCGCTTGGTTTGAAAAATAATTCTCGATAATTGTTTTTGTATAAAATGAATTAAGTGAATCAATTAATTGTTTTGTAAGAATTTTGCATGAATGATTAATATAAGGGTGTTTAATGCAAACTGTGGGGCACACCGGCTTTGGAGGACGATAATCCTACGTAGGGGGGAACGAACAATCGAAATTCGAAAATAAAAGATTTAAACAATTATCAATTTTCTGAAAGGAAGCAAAAAAACAAATATATGTTATGGCATAAAAAATGCACATTCACACTGATATAATGTACTTATAAATGTATGAGTTCTGCGCAAAGTATTTTATAGTTCATTCATCAATACTAAATTAACAAGTAAGATAAAAAAATTTTTGTAAGTCAATTCCTACAGATTTCAGCATAGAAAAATTGTGTTCTAGTTTCATTTTATTAATTACATTTCATATAAATATGTATATACATATTACAGAATCACAATATTAAGAGGAAAAATAGAAAGCAATTTTCTGTTCTATATATTGTGTTGGAATATTACTATTATTTTGTGTTGCTATTTATTCATTCATAAATAACACTTCCTAGAAATTAGGCTATCTCAGATATGATTCGAACCTACGACTTTTGGATTAGAAGTCCAATGCGGTATCCAATGCTCTACAGGGATACAATGAGCAATTTTCTTTTTTATAAGTAGTGTTAGGACCATTATTTTTGTTTGTTACTCTTTATTCTTTAATTACATTTAATTAATGAATAAATATTTGAAAAAATTGTATCTACATCTAGTGTCATCCAGTGCAAGTTTAAAAAAAGTTATTTGAACTTGAGGGGATGAATAACAAGTATATTATCTAAAAGAAAAATTAATGTACCATATTTTTATAACGGACTAAAAAGTATAACTTTTGTTTTCGTCTTTTTCATTTTCTTCTTCTTTCTCTCCTCCTTTTCGTTATTTTTTTGTCTTCTTTTTTTCACGTTTTCTTGCATTGTCGTCCACTTTTGAGCTATGGTCCAAATTTCAAGTCTCTAGCTCATCGAGAAGTTAGTATAAAATCAATTACAAAATTCCACCCGGACAGGCAAGATAGCGAGTTAATAAAACATGGTATATTCAGCGATATTTTATTATTTAAATGATTTCTTATTAAATAACGACTAACTGAAGCGGTGATTAATATTTGGAATAAAATATAAAATAGTTTTTTATTTCATTTTCATATGGCGCTTGGGTATCACATTAGATTGAGACCGTGATTTAAAATACACTGTCGTCATTATCATGAGTATTTTGGTATCGCCGATTAGAATACATGTATGTATTGTTTAGGACATTTGCGACTAGAATTGAATTATTTAAATGTAATATTTTGGCAAAATAATTAACTTGGGAAGCAACGCGCAAAATGTTCATATTTTACAAGAAAATAGCTCTATTATAATAATATTTAGGCTATATAAGCTCAAGACCTCTGGCGCGACCATAGCGGAAAATTTACATTATTTTAGAGTTACAACCAGCTGAAATATAATAACCAGGTTTTTTCTTAAAATTTTTCCCTCTACGGTGTGTAGGTAAACCACTTCAGTTATATATTTCAAAATTCTAAGTAAGGCCTCTATACGGTCGAGCTGTCACACATACCAAATAATATAATAGAAGCATTTTCACAAAGGAAATATTTTGAAGATAGATTCGATTTCTATCAACCAGTTTTGTAAATCTTGCCTTAAGCCGGTTTTATTAAGCAATACTTCAACAATTTTATACATTTTCTGATAAAGTACGTGGCATGATAATACTTAAATATTATCCATTTTATATATTTTGAAAATCACGTTCGAACGTAGTGGATACCTTCATCGCAAGCAGGCTTTATATAAACGTTAGTTATAAAACTTCCATCGCTTGTAAAACTGCGCTCGAAAGAATTACCTAATACCCAGATTGGCTCAATCCTTTAATTCATTAGGCTTTCAAACTCCTTCGCATTCAAATTGGAGATTACAGTTACATTCACATCCAGGCTCGGATAATAATAAACAATAGCGAAGAGGTTTTCGCACGTGGCTATTCCATCTGCTTCCTTCACACACTGGTGGCAGGAGAAGGCAGACTGGATTTAAATCATTCACACGAGTCCAAAAAATTGCGCACTATTAACTCCAATAAAACACGAAGAAAAACAAGGTAATAATAAAAAACCGTAGGCGTAACCTGGGGCGCCCTCTTTAGGTCAAAACCACAGGGAAATTAAATACGTGAACGCAGCTCACGTAGCACCATAATAGGTGGTGCTTTGTTTTGTTTAAATTCGACATGAGATTTCCAGGATTAGGACCCGTGTCAGAAATCAGGACCGCCTCTGGGTGCTTTCATTTGAGGGCTAAAACTTTTCACATACAATACGACTGTTGTCACTTCTGGGCACATGCTTCGACGTGCCGGAACCTGTACATGGGCGAAGATGGGTTGAAATCAATTATCCACCTGGACAAACATACCGACTCTTTAGGGGCTATTTGGGGTTCGTAATAAGGACTTTCGCACTTTTATTTTAATACGGCTAGCCATCCCATACCAGGTTATGGTGAAATTTCCAGTCTCATCCAGGAGGTTGGTTTAAATCAATTACCAAAAATTCCTCTGTACGAAGAACGAAACTGAGTTAATAAAAACATGACAAAAGTATTTTATTAACAACTGAAAAATTTGAACAATATATACCACTATATACCATATACAGGAAGAGTGAACTAATAATAGGAATTAGAAAAATTAGTTTAAATAGTGCAAATTCCCGCCGACTTGTCGGTAACTAAAAATTTAATACTTATCTTGAAGTAATTTGTACTGTTTTAATTAAAGATATTACTGACACGTCAAGTATATTATTATTGCGACATGACGTATTTACCTGGCCCAACGTAGGAGACGGGCGATGAAAGTTATGATGACTGAAAAGTGCAGGACACAAATGCCAGAGAGTTTGAAAAAGCACTGGCTTAGTAGATTCCTTTCTCTGGATGTTCGATCAACACACTCTCTTTATAAATTTTTCTATTAGTGTTATATTAAAATATTGGAATTAGAGATGGACGCAAAAAATATAACCTCAGTTTAATTCTCGAAATAATTCAGTACGCAGATACATTAACTTTTATCTTGACTAACAATATATGTTTTTGTCAGGAATGGCACATTGGTCAAACTAAGTTAATTGTCATCAGATTTATTTTTGCTACTTCAAGTTACTTAATGGTCACATCCTTTATGTTTTGACGAAGAATCCAGATATTGGTGCCATGCAAAATTGGTACATGATCATAGATGGAAAATAACACTTTCAGCGGCTTTAAAATTAATGAAATTGTGGTGGGTTAGTAAGGGTTGGTGCTATGTCCAAATGTTCTTTGAACTCCGTTGATCTATTGATATTTTATTTTATAATTAATTAATTTATTTATGACATGCTTCTCAAAATGCTCGTTAGGTGAAGATGTTTCAATTTTGCCAATCACCAGGAGGTCGCGTAATGCAGAAATTTATCAGTCGCCTGGAATCACAAACAAATAAAAGGTGGTATACGTTTTTAAATCGAACGAAGACTTGTGTGCAATAATTGTGAGGAAAATCGGGACGCAGATCATTATAAAACAAAGTGATCCGAGAATAGTCTGTGCCAGGTCAACACGAAAAAGGAAATACACAACTAAGAGGAAAAATGGATATATAAAAGGTTTCGATACTCTAGGATTTGCGGGAAGTTTACAGTGTTTAATGTAGGCGTCTATACGTCGCGAATCGACAGAATGAGTAAATAACTTTAGGCTGCTATGATGCTGAAACAAATTAAATAATAAATTATCGTTCAAAAGTTCTAAACGTCGAAATGTATATTTTCCAAAACAATACAAGACGCTACAACTGGCATCACCCCGTTCATTTGATTTGCGCATATATAATCCAGACTTACTACTTACAATTTATTCGGATGACATCACAAAGAATCGCGAAAAATAACGAGGTTATGCGAAAAAATTGACCTTACATCTCCAGCAGCAGCATAGAGATGGAATTTACAGCAGGAGAAAAATTTGGCGGACTGCTAAACCCGGAGCGGTCGGCGGGCTTTCAGATCACCCAGGTTCAAAACAATGGCATTCTGAAAACTTTATTTTTTTTGCAATGAGCACCCGACGAATCCTTCTATAACAGAGTCCTCCACGGAACTAAAATATATTTTCCTATATCACGCTTTCTTTTTGGGGTGACAAACGTTTTACAGTGCTTTGGTGGCCTGCGGTTCCCTGTGACCACTTTTGTTCCAAAATATTCTCTATGAATAAAGCTATATTTCCTCTATATGAATGACTTGTCATTTAGATTGATGAGTTGTACGACTTAATACACGGTTCCTGGAAATAATAAATGGGGCCAGACATAAAAAAAAAGAATGAGCTGTAATTATATTAGATGAAATTGAAACTAATCTGGAATAAGGAACAAATAATGAATGTAAATAGATAATGAAAATAAATTTCAAATACAAATAACAAACATTTTAGTTAAGGAGAATTTCCAATGCTACCTAAAAAAAACTCCATCAGGGAAGATATGAGGGGCAAACGGAAATTACCATAGACACACCGCTCTGTCAACGTACTGAAAACCGACAGGGATATGCATATATTTATTAAGTCCTCAAGGTTTCCGGCAAAACTACAATAATGTTAACAAAATGTTAGGGGTTTCACTACAAATAACATTTCTGGAGATACTGGCGGAAAGTGCCTGTGGTTTTGTGTCATGTTAAGAAGTCATGCACATTTGAAACCGTTTGGTTCATTTTAATTAGATTTTTATAGGTATAAAGAAAAATTAGAAAAGTCTAAAGTAGTGACTGCTTTCTCTTATTAGGTATTTCATTACGGATAACGTCTTTTGTGAGTAGGAATAAAGTGATTATAAAAAAAAGGTTGGGTGACTCCGTGACCTCATAAACCACTAACTTAAATAATAGGTGTGCCTGCATTGCAAAGTGTGCTTCACGCACACACACTGGTGCGCAAACTTAACTGCTGCGCAGATAAATGTGCATCAGGTTCTAAGCATTTTGCATGACGTTGAATATCTGAGGGCTTTACATTTTGATGTATATGTTAGAGATGTACTGTTATAAGTAGCGGTATTTCTTAATATCTAAAAAATAAATTTTTTGTCTTATTCTATGTTTTAGAAAATGACAAGCAGCAGTACCAATTAAATGATGTTTTCGTTTGGTAAGAAGAAAAAATTTACGTACATAACCATTAATGAATATGTGACGACTTGGCATTTTCATAATTACCAGGACTATTTAAAAAATTATCTCCTCTTTTTCGTTTCTTATAAATGTGACAGTAACAATATTTTTCGAACCTAAAATTCGCGTATAACAAATTTCAAACGTGCATTTTAGTGTAATTTTCTTATTTCGGCCTTCTTGTACTTATTAAATTAAGCAAACGCATATAAAAAGTAAATAAAAATTTAATCTTTATATTGAGCTACAATGTTGATAGTCAGGTACATATAAAATATATAGTTTTTATAATATTGAAATATATATACATGACATATTTTCTATTTGCACTCTTCAGTTTGTTCAAAGTACTCATCTG